GCGTGGTGGCCGTGAAGCCCCGGGCGAGGCGGAGGGGGGGTCAGCCGTGGGCTAATGCCGCTTGTGTCGTTGGCAGGATCCGAGCCTAGCGCGGCGGCGAGCGTAGCCGTGGGAGCCGGCCTCAGCTCGTGGCAGCCTGCTGTCACCTTCCCTTCTGGCAATGGGGAATGGACTCTCGGACCAGACGCCGATCCTCTCCAGCCTGCCTTCTTTCCAGAGTTTCCACATTGTCATCTTGGGACTGGACTCCGCTGGAAAGACGACCGTGCTCTACAGGCTGCAGTTCAATGAGTTCGTCAACACTGTCCCCACTAAAGGATTTAATACGGAGAAAATCAAAGTGACGCTGGGCAACTCGAAAACGGTCACTTTCCACTTCTGGGATGTGGGCGGCCAGGAGAAGCTAAGGCCGCTGTGGAAGTCGTACACAAGGTGCACCGATGGCATTGTGTTTGTGGTGGACTCTGTCGATGTTGAGAGAATGGAGGAGGCCAAAACAGAACTTCATAAAATTACTAGGATATCTGAAAATCAAGGAGTGCCTGTCCTAATCGTTGCTAACAAGCAGGACTTGAGGAACTCTCTCTCCCTTTCTGAAATCGAGAAAATGTTAGCAATGAGTGAGCTGAGTTCTTCGACTCCCTGGCATTTGCAGCCTACCTGTGCAATCATTGGAGATGGACTCAAAGAGGGACTGGAGAAACTACATGATATGATAATTAAGCGAAGGAAAATGTTGAGGCAGCAGAAAAAGAAGAGATGAGTTCTATTTTGACCTTTCTATTTTAGAGTAGTTACATGGTCAAAATTTGACGTAAGACAGCTTCCAAACCCAGGCCTGCTTGTTTGGATGGTGTTAAGCTTAGTTATGTTAAACAATCAGTTGCACAACCTTGCTGTGTGGAAGGCTGTGCAGTTATGGAATTTTTTTTTTTTTTAACTAGTCTCTTCTGAGTTTTATGGCTCTGCATTATTTCAGAAGCCCTAATAGATGATGTAATTCTATCAGGAAATGGATGGGTGGGTATATGTGACATGGATGTCTAAATAGCCAAATAAAATGAGGGGTTTCTGCTTAGTGTTGTATTCATATGTTTGAGGGTGCCCTCTGCAAGCAATCTGCATTGAAGGTGTTCTGTGTTTTTTAAACTTCTAATGCTTGTAAGTGGAGTGTTCTGGTGAACATTATACAGCTTTAAAAACATGTATGAAGCTAGTAACCCATTATTTTGAGAGGCTGGTTTTTATCTTGTTTGGGGATTTCTATGAAAGCTTGGCTACATATGTAGGTTTTTTTTCTTTAATTTGGCACTTTTTGAAATTGAATCACGTTCAGTTCAAATACTTGGAATTCAAGTGCTGTGGATTCTTCAACTGATAAAAGAAAGACTTTTTGACAAGTAAAAATGTAAACAACACGCTGGAGCATGGAAAAGTGGTGGTTTCCCAACATATAGCATGTTTTTGGTATGTAAGGTTTTTATTTTTTAGAAGTAGCCATTCATCATTACACAGTGCTAATCAGGTTTAAACTATTACTCAAAATTAGTAATTTATTTCTGAATGATGAGTATTATGTCCTCCTACTATCAAGTGAAAAGTAAATTAATTGCAGCAAAGGAGCTGTAAAGAACAACTCTGGCTGTTGTGGTTCTAACCAGTGCAGCGTTCTTCGCTCTACTGGTGACTTTTCTGGCAATAAAACAAAATTATAATGAAGTAAAGATGGAGTTAAAATTAGCAGAGCACATCTTGTATCTCCCCAAAATACCCCATTTTATTAAAGTGGTATTGCTATGTCACTTTCAACGTATGCTTTTTTTTATCGTGACTCTTAAAGTATTTTGTGGTTAGGAATGTAATAATGCTTTATACACTCAAAACATATGACACTACCGGGGGCGGGGGAGGGAGGGGATTGGGGGAAGAAGATTTTCAAGGTGGGAGTGTGTTCTGCTTTAATTATGCTTTAAGCTGTTCTTGTTTACAGAGTGTGCAAACAGTGTTAACTGGGCAGGATAATGCTTGACGGAAAAAGGAGGGTAGTTTTTCTTATTGGTACAGAGCTTCAAGTGACTCTTTAGATACTTGGCTAGCAATTTAAAGGGCTAAAACAGAGCCTGGATTTTTAAGACTAACTTTAGTGGTGCTGTAAAAATTCATCAGAATGTTAGATTCTCTTTAAACTTTTGTTGGAAATACCAAATTAAAAAAAGTGGAAAAAAAAAAAACAAAACAAAAAGCAAAATCTATTTCCTCCTTTTACTCAACCAGCGAAGTAATACATTTTTTCTTACCTGCTGCCATGTATCAGGAGGATGACAGCTACAAACCTGAATGTCAGTCAATGTAACTTAGATATGTTTAAAAAAATAATCAAACTTTTTAACCAGCAGCTGTTCGTCCAGGAGGTAACCAAAAATGCACTTTAGTGTCTTCAATAACTGAAAGGGACAGCTGGTTTTTTTAATGACATCTTGGTCCTTTTTGAATAAACTGAAGTAGCTTCCAGTGGAGCTTTTGTATGTTGGTTATATATGTACCTGCACTGGTGACATTGTAAGTCACTTACTCAAGTAATGTCTATATTTATAGAAATGTGGATGACTTCTTAAACCTTAATAAACAATTCAAAACAAGCCTGCAGAGAGAAGGTGTCTGACTTCTTGTACTGCAGCAGTACGTTCTCATCAACCTCTGTGCACGTATTGATTCTAATAACAGTAGAGCTATTTCTGTTGAAAACCAAAGTCTTACAAATATGGTGAGGCTCATAAATGTCATGGTGTTATAAATTGCAGGTATCTCATTAAAAACTTTAAATCAATGGCATGTCTGTATATTCACAGAAGAAATATTAACTGCAGCAACTCCTTTCTGAAGTGATGGATCTTGCATAATTTGAAAAATCTTTTCTCTAGCTGAACCTATTTTGTGTTACGTGCAATGTTTAATAGGCGATGTTGGGCATTTATCACGTACTCACAGGTGGTACTTAGTTTAGTATCTTCAGGCTCATCTATCTGAAGCTGTCTGAGGGATTCACATGTAGTTAAGCCTTGGGTGAATTTCCTCCTCGGATTTTACGGCAGTGAGTAGAATGTGGCAAGAGATACGGAAGCTTCTAACTAGTTTCAGGACCTGAACATAGACAAGACATTTAGCCTGCGAATCAAAATTGCTAAGTTCGAACAAGAATATCCAAACCTATCTCAAAAACCTGGTATTTTCATTTCTGTTTATGTAACTGATGGCATACCAAAATGTAGGTTACTAACAGTCAGTCTTGAGAAAAAGCTGTATTAGTGATGCTGAGCGCTATGAATTTGGGGTGTAATTGGTATAATCTGGCTAACATTTTCCTTCCTATCAGGTGCACAGTACTACTAGGGTGAGGAAGGTGAGATGACAGGCTGGCTCTTTGTACCCAGTAAACAAACTGTACAATACCAAGTAATAATGGCTTCATTTTGAGTATTTATGAGGCTTCTATTGGGAATAGTTGAAAAGGCATCCTGCTTGAAAAAGTCAATCATATCTTGCTCTGCATATTAAACATGCTAGTGTTTATCTGGTGACAGTCTCCCTAAACTCTTCTGTGTATAAAAACTTCAGTGAATGATTTTAAATACAAAGATGTGACTGATCTGTACTCTAGCACTCTGGAGGAAGAAGCAAGAGAAGGTGGAGAGTACTGTTTCTAAAATGTCATGTTTGTTATCTTGTGATATTTAATACTGACTTGCAAGTAGAAAACTGAGTGGGGGATGAGTTTTACGTCCAAGCTATACCTTTATCTGTACTAGAACTGTTTTGCTGGAATATTACAGTAACTGTTCAGAGTAAAATACACAAATGTAGCTGTACCTCCAAAACTGTGTTTTGTATTACTATGACAAAGTCTTCAACTATGAACAAAGTGGTGATTGCAGTAGAGCATTTGGTATCTTAGCTGACTGAGTTTCTGCTGGCATAGTTCTGTCAGCCTGGGATCACTCTCTTCCATACGATGAATTGACAGTTCTGGCCTAAATACTGGTATGTGTAAGAAAGTCTTTAGAGGAGCTGAATAAGCAGGTGTAATTTTGTTACAATGCTGGAATTACACAACTTAAATTTTAAAATAATTTTTGCTGAAATGGGCTACAAATGACACTGTTCTTCAAGGCACTAGACAAGTTAAATATCTTAAACTGCTGCTACTTTAAGGAGGTATGGAATTGCATTTAAATCGGTGCAGCACTGTTAAAAACGAACAAACCACAAGGTCTCGTAACCTTATAACTGTTGTCTTAGCTTACAAAAGTTGGTATGGCATTGCCTCAGCTGTTTATGCGCATGCACTCTTTTAAAGTTAACCAGCCTTCAGGATCTGGTCTCTGTTTTCTAGCTGCGTGGCTGCGTATTAGCTTATGACTTTCAGCTAGAAAAAGTACTGTAGGATGGTGAGACTCCTTCAAGTTCTTGTCGTCACTTTTAAGTTGTGTTGCACTGAATGTGCATTTACATTTGAAAAAAATATAAATACTGTTTTTCAGCCAGGTGATAGGTGAAACCTTTCTCTCTTCAAATTTTAATGTTCTATCCTATCCTGGTTGATCCTTCATGTGTGGAAAGCAGTACCCACAGCCAGTCCACGGTTCCCAGCCTGACTTAGAGAGGTGCTTCTGCACCACCTTACACAGCACTTCGGTCCTGCAGGAGTTTATTACCTGGGACGCAGCTGTCACAGAGCAGCGAGGAGGTGAAGGCAGTCTGGTCGGGGCTAGCGAGCCCTTCTGGACCTCAGCAGGCCTGTGTGAAGGCACCTCTGCCTTCTTGTGGGGGTTTATCTGCACCTTGGATCATTTGTTTGCAGATAGCAGGGTGTTAATTAGTGCCTGGCTGAAACTTTTTGTTGAGAGGAGAGTGTCATTTCTGGCATCGGAGGAGGATTTAGATACTGAATTGATACTACAAAGAAGGACTTGGTAAGGCAGAGTGTGGAAAATGTAGGCAGTCTGCATACACTATATATAGGGCACCAACCTTACCATGCAGTCTTGATTCAGCTGTGCAGATTGCAATGCATGAAGGCTAGCAAATGTATTCATAATGCTATCTTCCTTTAACTTCTTTTGAGAGAGAAATCTAGGCATGAATCAGTGCTTTTTGGATCAGTGTTTTCACTTTACTGTTGGGTGACTCGTCTTTTGACAGAGTCACAGCTTATAGCCCCGCTCTGACAGCCGATAGCCTGGTGTCCCTGAGCCAAAACAACTCTTGTTGCTGCTGGAAGGGATGTGTAGGGAGCTGTGAATGGGTGTCGTCTCCTGTTTGGTTTAGTCTGGGGGATGAGGAAAGCATTTTATTATTTATTTATTTTTTAATCCTGACTGACATAGGTATGTGAAGGCCTGCCCCTCTCACGCTGCTCTGCAGGCTGTGATTATTTTTAGGAGCAGTACGAGACTGCAGAGCCGCATGGATAAACTTGCATGTGTTTTTAAACTGAAGGGAAGCACACAGCCTGACTTCACGGCAGGGTGATGCCTGGGGTTGTCATATGGGCTCCTACAGCCATCCTACCTATCTGAGAACAAAATAAAGGGGTGACACGTAACTGGTACCTTGCCCTTCTTTAAAGCCTTAGTCAGTCATCTTAAACCAGTTGTAAAGAAGCAAAAACTGCAGTTTCAAAGTCCTAGCTGAAAAAAATCCCAAGCAGCAAATTAAGGACTTAAGGTTCCTCCCTGTTGGTGTCCTGTTTTATTGGTGCTGGCTGTGAGTGGTCTGAGGCACCTGTGCTGTGGCTGGGCGATGCTGCCGGCAGCCTCCCTGCTTGCCACGGGGCCTGGCAAATGGCACAGTCACTGAGTATTCACATACTGATTTTATTCAAAGGCAAACCCAAAATCTAAGGAGAAAAAGCAGGCAGGGAGGCCAGACGGTGCTTCCAGACTAAATACCTGCTTGCAAACAGCTCAGGAAGGTAAGAGATGATAATCCCTGAGTTGTGAAGATTATGATTTCTTAGTTCCAGCTGTATTTACACAGCTGCTCCACCAGAATTAAGAGCTAAAGATGACAGAATAGTTAGAAAGGAGAAGGTCGAGTACAGTTGTTGGCTGTGGGGTGTGTGGAGGGAGACAGGATTTGAAACCATTGGGTTTTCCTAGCTTTTCAAGACCCATTGAGCCCTAAGGGAAATAGATATGCTTTTAGGCTACTTAATTGGTTTAAAATCTTTATTGTTTTATGCACTGTAGTTTTCCTATTGCTGAAATGAAACAATACCTCATTTAAGAAAGCCACCTAATCACCACATTAATCTCCTAGTCCACTGACAAAGGAGAAGGTTAGCAGGGCTGTTGAGCCTTGTTAAACGAGCCGAGGGCTCCTGGCTGGCACACAGGCTGCTGTATTTCAAGGTCTTTTCTAAATATAGCAGAGTGGTAGAATTTAGGTCAGGCGAGGTAAAGGTGTGAAGGCTGATACCTCAGATACCACACATGGTCCAGAAGTATCACCAACCCTGTAACTGCTTATCTTCTGTTGCCACTTTATGAATGATAAATAAGAATAATTTCCTTTGGAGCATAAGATTTTCATTCCTTTCCCATTCCAATGTCATTTGCCCTGAAAGCTTTAACAGGTTTTGATATTGGAACATCATTGAGGTGGGTATCATGAAGATGAGTTCGTGACTAAAGAGGGTCAGGAAAGAGTGTTCACCTTTGCTGCAGTGACTTGGTTAGCTAAAACCAGTCTTTTTGTAAAGCTGGCTTAACATGGACAAAGATGACCTGTAAGAGGGAACTTTTCTAAAAATATCTTCTTGTTTCTAACACTAGCTGAACTCCGCTGGTCTTATAATTATTGGATGCTGTTGTAGGCACGTGCTCCTGCTCTTTTTTTGACACCAGTTGCATGATGATCTCTAAGATGCCTTCAACAGCTTGCAGACCATCAGCATAAGGTCTCTACAGTTTTAAATGGTAATACTGAACTTATATATCCATGATGTATGTTTTTAGCTGTCCATCTGAGGTGCTTCTGTGGGTCAACCTGGTTTCTCAAAGAAATTTTTGATTCTTTGTGATTATTGTATCAATGTCTCTGAAAACACAGTTTATTCTGATTTGGGTTGTGTTATAAGTGATACAGTAAATGGCAATCTATGGATTATTAGTAGCACTGTTTCCCTTGAACTCCAGCTATTGAGTTTCTATTTGAATCAGAGAGATATATTCCATTTTTCTTGATTATACTGTATTTCGTACAGGAGCTGAACCTTAGAAATACTAGTCTCCCTGATTTTAATTAGCTTAGAAAATTGACTTGTATGTTTAAAGTCACTGTAATTCAGCTGTAATCAGTCATGTTACACTGGAGACAAATGGGATTCATGGACTGAGCCCACACTGATTCTTTTTGACAGAACTCCTATTGCCACATCAATACACATCCCCCACTGTGTGCTATGGTGGCACTGGTACCAGCAAACTATATTTCTATATGGTTCAGCAACTCGATTTCTGCCACTCTGTCATATAACTTGGTTATATACAATGTTTCCTTATGTCCTGCTATTGCTGTAATCATGATAGGGGACTGTTTGAAAAAAATTCTGTACAAAGACTCAGCTGTACACTGCAACTTTAAAACAAATACATCAAACTATGTAATTTAGTTTCAAAGTACTGGAGTTAATGCTGAAAGCTGGAAGTTTAAGACTAAAGATTGGTACATCCAGCTCAGCCACTGAGCGCTGGTCATTTTATCCCTGAAGTCTCTTCATCTATGTGTAAAGCAAGAATCTCATAGTTGCTCTTACGTTTAAATTCATGCTTAAAAGTGCTGTGAGATATTAAGATATTACAGAAATACAGTGTAATGGAAAGTAATAGAAAGACTGTAACAGTAATTTGGATTTTTCAATTGACTTGTAACATATTTGTGTTCAATAGTCAGGTATCAGGGAATCGTACCATTTCAAAAGTAATGCATTTGAGAGTTTAAAAATACAAGTTCAACATACTGTATTATCTCTGACCACATGAGCTTCAGCTTCACAGAAAACAAAAATATTACCATAGTTGAAAATAATAATGTATTTCATATTCATCAGTGAATAAATATACATAAACCAGACCATCTGTACCTGATTTTTGTTTGCATTTGACTACAGCTATTAAGCAAAAGTACTCAAAATTACTTTGTTTTATGTTTGAATTAAATCGGGATGAATATATGGTCCTCCAAATCAGGCATATGAAAGTTTTCAAGTAAAGGTGATTTGCAAAGATCTTGAGTTAAAATAACACATTATCTTAAAATAACCTTTTATTTGGAATAGTCACTAACAAAAATGGCTGGAAATTCCTTTGAAAAGATAGCTTTATTTTATATAGTATGGTGAGAGAAGTACGTTAGAGTGATTTCAGACCTCAGGATTCAGAGGGTCTCCTGTTCTCTCTGCCTTTCTTGGCTGCAATGAATCGGTCTGCACAGGATGTGGCTGCTAACAGATGATAATGCAAAGTGAAGGGCTGGGCCGTGAAAAGCCCCAGGGTGGCTCAGCATGGTGCTGAGT